AGATGAGGTGAGTGTGTGTGTGTGTGTGTGTGTGTGTGTGTGTGTGTGTGTGTGTGTGTGTGTGTGAGAGAGACAGCACATCTGGCTCTGGTAATTTGAATTTAACATTTAAAAATAAAAATAAACTGGTCTGGCTGTGGTAATTTGCGTCATGTTCCAGTCACAGATGATACTTCTGTGCAACTGCTCACTTTGATCCTGTCAAGGTGAGACATTGCTAATGCTAGCCTTTTAGTGAAAAGCAGAAAGCATTGAAGTGAGAGATAAATGGATGAGTGCGGCACACTATCTCACGTCTCATCTCTTTATTTGCTGGGTCTTTTTGTTGCTTGCTGCTCTCTGTATTGTGATCGCTCTTCTTTAAACTGCTTGGGAGAAGTCTTTGAACATCTGTCAGTCACACAGACTGCACAAAATAAATAGAACAAAGCCAGCTCCTGGACTACAGCATGCATTGATCCATGTTTTAAGACAGGAAGCTGTTTTGCTTTCTGTGTCAGTTCTTGCACTGTTCTACAAAAAGAAAAAAATCCTTGTCAGCCTGTCAGCCTGATGAAAACTTGACACTGTGACATGAAACACTGACATTTAATGGTTAACATTCCTGCGGACGAGATTAATAGATTAATAAGGAATTTTATTGGGAAAATGGAATCAGCGTTAGTATTTTTAGTAGGGCTGCACGATTAATCGCATGCGATATTTAATGCGCATCTTGTCAGGGAATCCCACGCAGGTGATGGAGATTTACCGCTGATTAAAGAACCGGCTTTACTGATAAGATGCACGTTAAATATCGCTTGCGATTAATCGTGCAGCCCTAATTTTTAGTAATATTTATATACTGTAATTTGGCATATCGTTTATATATTTAGTTGGGCTGGGTGATATGACCTAAAATCAAAACCTCGATTAACTGAACACTTTATTTCAATTACGATTATTTTAATTAAAAAAAAATTGACCTCATAGTTCAATAAAGGTTTGTACTGTAAATATACTCAACTATTAAAGGTGGGATATTTTTTTCTAATGTTTCCCATACAAACTGTACAGACACACACACTCGCACACAGTGAGACATACACATCTTGTCAGTGTTTCCCGGAGACTTTAAACTATCAATAAAATAGTTTGCAACGGAATAGCTACATGACACTTCGCAGAAGCTCACACACACTTTCTCCCTCTAAAGTAAACCAGTGTCGGTCTAGTAAATATAGTTAATAGTTAATATATGCACATAGGGCTGGGCGATATGACCTAAAATCAAAACCTCAGTTAATTGAACACATTACCTCGATTACAATTATTGAACGATTATTTTATTTATTTATTTTCTTGCCCTCATGGTTCATTAAAGGTTTGTACTGCAAATACTGTATACTCAACTATTAAAGGTGGGATATTTTTTTCTAATGAAAGAGTGCATTTCTTTCATTGTTTGCAAACCAAATAAATGAATATTGCCATGTCAAAAGTAGAAAATAACCAGCATCTCTTGCAAAAAAAAAAAACATTTTATATTCGAGCCCGACCGATATATCGTTTTGCCGACATTATAGGTCGATATGAGCCTGTCGCAGATATATCAGTATCGGCGATATGCCGCTGATATAATTTTTTTTTTTTTACAGACCATATAATGCAGATTAAATTCTTCTGAATGGTGTAATTACTTAGTTCGCGCCCCATTGTTTGCTGCTGACGACCCAGGTCAGTGTAGTGTAGAGATGCGCGGATGAGATCAAACTTCACCCGAGTCCGCTGCTTCAAATGATCCGCCCGCCACCCACCCGCACCTATATTTGATCGTCTCATTACAATGATTCTAATTCTTAGTTTTGCATGATGATATGATGAATGGATAGTTCATTTTTAACTGCAGATTCAGTGACGTTAGAAACTAGAGCTGATCTGCGCATCACGGCATGCGTCTTCGGCGCATTCATTCGCAAAAAATCGGTTTTAATTTTTCTGGACTCCTTTTTAATGTTTACATTTATTTTAATTGAAGGGGTCATATGATGCTGCTAAAAAGAACATTATTTGGTGTAATGAAATGTGTTTATGCGGTTTAAAGTAAAAAAAAAACACATTATTTTCCACATACTATACATTGTTTCTCCTTTTTGAAATGCGTAGATTTTTACAAAGCTCATCGGTCTGAAAAAGCGAGGTGTGCTGTGATTGGCCAGCTATCCAGTGCGTTGTGATTGACCGAATACCTCAAGCGTGAGACGGAAATGTTACGCCCCTCACATACTGTTGATGCCATGTTCGGCCGGAGCTACGAGACATAATCATTAAAACCCATTATAAACGAGGCATTTGTTGCATCCAGTGGGGACACAATTACTGATTATAATGACTTATACTGTCTTTTTACGCGTTGCGTTGCATTGCATCGCGTAAACATAAAACTCTGTCTGCATTTGTGATCGGAGAAATGACAAACAACAAGTCCTACTCTACTGCCCAAAACTCGCGTTTGAATCATCAGTGGCAACGAAAAACACAGCGGCCTAGCGTGAGGGGAAGCCCCGGCTTAGCGTGCGCTGAGGCCGGGATAGAGTGAGCTAAGGCGGGCTGGACTCCGCTTTGTCCATGATGAAAGTTGATGTATTCCCTCAGCGACCAGCACAGATCAGCTCCAGGCATGACAAAGCGGATATCGTCCTCTTTTGAAAGACCAAACACAGTAGTTTCGCTTTCACAACGAAGCACACAGCGTCTTCAGGACATGGCTGCAGCGTCAACAAAACTACAACGAGAATAAAAGTTACGCCTTCTTTCTTTGCGTAAACATTTGGGCGGCGTTATGCAAATCTTCCCAGATCGTGACGTAGGTATGTGGGGGCGTGTTAGAACGAGCTGTTTTAGGTAGGCGTGGTTGACTCTTAACTTTTATAAAGAATCTCTTTGGATTTGAGACTTTAGTCTTTGCAACTTTACAGATCTTCTTTATGCACCAATAGCTTGTAACACTCCAAAGAGAAAGGAAAAATTGAAATCGCATCATATGACCCCTTTAATAAAAAAACATGTCTAATTAAAGTCATGAAACTTAACATCAATTTATCAAAAGTTTAACAAATTACATGTTTAGGTCCCTATGAAATGTTTTATTTTTTTCCAACCTTATGTTTTATTGTTACCAAATTCTGTGTTTTAACATGTCTAATTATTTGAAAGCATAAAAACAAGTTTAATTTATTCTTACAATAGCCTAATGATTTTTTCCTCAGAAATTCTGCATTGTGTATTTACATTGTTTTAAAGGCACAAAACAGTCATTTAATTTATCTTTTAATTAATGAAAATTAAACATTTTATTTTTGGAAAAAAAAGGGGATTTAATATTACAATGAAAACATTGAAGAAATATTGTATGATTATTTCTTAAAAATAAGGTTTTAATAATTTTAGTAGTATTAGTAGCCTATTACGTACATTCAACTGAACATTCGCAATATATTTCTGACGCAGTGTCTTCAAGTTAAACCAAACTTTTATTTTGACTGGCTATTTTGTTTGTTTAATAAAAGAACAAGGTATAGACCTGTTCTATAGGAAAGGTAACTTTAAATGACTGCTATTGTGATCTGGCGCTATAGAGAAAATAAAATTAAATACAATTAACTTGACCTTCAAGGGGGGCGGTGGTTGCCTTTGGGGGGGCGGGTTTTCGATGTAGAAAACATGGACGGAATCACGGAATCTAGTCATAAAAACGGAATTTACTGTATAATGCGGAATATTATTCTATTATAAAATATTATTATACATTATTATTATTATTATTATTATTATACAAAATATTATTCATTATTATTTATTCATTTTAGATGTTTACATTTGGAAACGCTGTTTTTCCTGCATAAACCTGCCCCTGTATGTTTGGCAGTAGCTTGCTTAATTTCTTAATTCAAGTTATATATATTTTGTTCTATTTGTTTAGTTATTTATAATAAGTGAAGTTTACTGTTAAGTGCACTGATGTCAGACTCCTTTTGAACAATAAAGTTTATTGTGAAAGTGTTAAATACCCTGGCTCCACTACATAGGCCTATGTTTGTCACATCTTTATAAGTGTTTGATCACCACATTTGAGTTATCATTGCAAAAAATGTGTTTATGTATATATATTTTGTTCTATTTGTTTAGTTATTTATAATAAGTGAAGTTTACTGTTAAGTGCACTGATGTCAGACTCCTTTTGAACAATAAAGTTTATTGTGAAAGTGTTAAATACCCTGGCTCCACTACATAGGCCTATGTTTGTCACATCTTTATAAGTGTTTGATCACCACATTTGAGTTATCATTGCAAAAAATGTGTTTATGTATATATATTCTGTTTATGTAGGCCAGTGATTCTCAACCCTGGTCCTGGGCGCCCCCCAACATTGCACATTTTGTGTGTCTCCCTAATCAAACACACTTGATTCAACTCATTAGCTCATTAGAAGAAACTCCAGGACCTGAAATGGGTGTGTCAGACAAGGGAGACATACAAAATGAGCAGTGTTGGGGTCGCCCAGGACCAGGGTTGAGAAACACTGATGTAAGCTATATACTAGGGCTGAACGATTAATTGCATTTGCGATAATATTGCGATATGAAATAACGCGATTTTTCAATCGCAGAGGCTGCGATTATACGGTCACGTGACACGCGAGAGTAAAGAGGCGTGTTCGACTTGAAGATCAGATCGGTGTATGACATCAAAGTACGGCAAGCATGAGAAAGCCTAAGGAGACGTCCGCGCTCTCTTAGCTCTCTCAGTACTTTGATGACACACACCCATCGGTCTAAGCAGCGCTGCTTCAAGTCGAGCGTGGGCCATCAGCAGAAAAAGAAAAGAAATAAAACGGTAAACAGCCAAAGGACGTAACTTAGAATGGGAGATGGATCGATTTGTGAAAGGGAAGAGAAAAGCCATAGATGAAGTCGCACAGACCCAGGCAGTTGCTGGTCATTCAAATGCTAAATGCAGAAAATATGACGAGGCATATCTTGATCTCGGCTTCACTCACTGTGTCTATACCGGACGCTACAGTTGTGCGTCGCGCCGCAACAGCTCTACACTGACGCGACAAAGGCGACCAGTGCAAATCATTTTAACTTTGTGTCAGTACGTCATAAATAGAACGAGGCATCAGTTTAATGTCGCGTCGCATCCAGTGTAGACCGTGTCACTGATTATAATGGTTTCTTCTGTATTTTGCCGCTGCGTACGGTGTAGACACAGTGTTTAATGTCGTTGGTGAGGAGGAAAGCCTGTGTGTCCTATGCCTTAGCGGACAGCATGAAACCCACAAAAAATAAATGAGTAACAGCGAGAGAATAATAATAAGTCATTCTCTCTATACTATTTTTCAATGTTTCAAGTGACGCAGGTGTTTTTTTCCCTGTAGGTTTTTTTAATTAAAAAAGTGTACATTTTTCATGTTTAGTGAAATTATTTGGTAGTCTGAGGTGGGATGGGGATTCGGGAAACGGGAAACGGGGGCAAATTTTTTTTATAGGTTTAAAGGGGGTGCGACCAAAAAAGTTTGAGAACCACTGGTCTAAAGTTAACAGACAGTGTTTAAAAAGTGCAGTGCACATGTTTACATATGTTTATTACAGTGATTTTGAATTACATAAAGTAGTGTGGTAAAGCAACAGATTTGTTTTTATATTTCTGCAATCTACTTTAGTTTGTGTGATTTGTTACTGACTTTCATATTAATGTTTACACCAGGCTTATTTAAACATAATTATTACATGCTTACAAGGTTGGAAGTTCAACAAATTAGTCAATATACTGTGATTATTGTAGTTAAATAAAAATGTCATTCATATCAATTTATGCATCACCTAATTTCACCGTAACATATAGGCCTGGCCTACAGAAAAGAACATTTATGTTTAATCTATATATAATAGTGTGTTGGTCATACTATACAATGATTTATAGCTTGTCTTTGTTGAATAATACAGAACATAAAGAGCTTTAAAAAAATAATTGCATATTAAATCGCAATATTGGTAAAGAAAATCGCAATTAGATTTTCCAAAATCGTTCAGCCCTACTATATACTGTATTCTATATAAAGTAATTTTGACTATACTGTACTATAATATAGCCTACACATAAAGAATATCGACCGATATATCGATATCGGCCTTTTTTACTCCCTAATATCAGTATCGGCATTAGCCCCCAAAAAATCCATATTGGTCGGGCTCTATTTTAAATATTGTCATGTGAAAAGTAGAAAATAACTTGTATCTCTTGTAAATGAATATTATTTTAAATAATGCAATGTGAAAAGTAGAAAATAACTTGCATCTCCTGTAAACAAATGTTTTAAATAATGAATGTAATAGAACACGTCTGATTTAAGAGAAAGAGCAGGGCACTAGCTCAGTGATTTTGTCCTGTCACTCTATATGTTTAAGTATTTACTCTAGGTTCTTACTGGCTATTCACACAGAACACGTCTTTGTGTCTAAAACCGCGAGACGCAGCGCTCAGGGTTTTATTTTAAAAAAAATTTAAGCGCAGCGCAAAATGCTTACTCTGCCATGTTGCCGTCAAATACAGAAGTTGCCATGCCAACCTGCTACTTTAAATAAAAGCTGGCACTGCTTTCCCCGCCTCCACGGTCTTCTGGTTGGTCCACTGTTTTGAACTGACATTGAGCTCCTACTGCGGTGGTATGTTTTTAATAGGAAAGTATTAATAGGATTAAAAAAAATCTAATTAACCGACATGGGAAAATTATGTCGGTTAGAGGTTCTGAATTTTGGCTTCGATTCCTTTTTGGTTAATCGTCTAGCCCTACTTAGGCTTATCATTTATATTTATCAGTTTAATTTTTATTTTTGTGCTTTTATCATTTTAATTTTTCTTAAATTTTTTACTTTAGATTTATTTTTTGTATTTTGATCGAGATGAATAGCGCAGTCCGGAACGCTGTTGTTGAGCCATGTTTCCGTGAACACAAAAACACAACAGTCTCTTACAGTCCTCTGAGTTGAGCGTAGTAGTCGGATGTAGTCCAGTTTATTGTCCAAAGAGCGTACGTTAGCCAGTACGATGGTGGGGATAGCCGGCTTGTGTGGGTTAGCCGCTAGCCTAGCCCGGATACCTCCGCGCTTACCCCTCTTCTGCTTCCTCTCGCGCCGCTTGTGGCGCCTCCGCTGTGGGCGAGATGCAGCAGTGGGGGTCGGTGATGGAGTGGGCCTCCGGAGCAGACCGAGATCCCGCAGCTCTTCGGCGTGGGCAGAGTTTAACTCTAAAAATGTGGTTCTGCCGACATCGAGCAGAAACTCACGACTATATGCGCGCTTAGAAACAAATAGACGCGACGAATACATACAAAAACCCTGCGACTCACAAGACAAAAAAACACGAAAATACCTTTCTGTCGGGAGAGAGAGAAGCCGCAGCGTGTGAACGCGCCGCCATCTTGGAATCAAAAAAGAAATGTAATTTAGTTTTTCATGCAGTATTTATATTGTAATTCAAATAGTTTTTTAAAATTTTTGTAGTTGCTAATTACAGCACTCAGTTGTATTGGTTATTTGTTAGCATGTTGTCCGGAATGTTACAGTTTTTGCCAATGTCCTTTCTGTAGTGTCCAGAGGTTCGCCTCAACATCATCTCCAACTTGGACTGCGTGAACGAGGTGATTGGAATCCGCCAGCTTTCCCAGTCTCTGCTTCCAGCTATTGTTGAGCTGGCTGAGGATGCCAAATGGCGAGTACGACTGGCAATTATTGAGTACATGCCCCTTCTGGCTGGACAGCTGGTGAGTCCTGACCGTCAGTGTCCTAGAATGCTTTATCCTGAAATAGAGATCGGAATGATCCGTTGGTCAGTTCTTATTCTTCAGTCTCTTTACACTTAAAGCATTTAACTAATCATCCTGTTACCTTTTTGCCGTCAAGTCGCCTTGGGTCGCGTAAGCTAATCTAACTGATATGAGGTATCCTTTTTTTCTCTCTCTCTTTCTTGTGCTTGCAGGGTGTAGAGTTCTTCGATGAAAAACTCAATTCTCTGTGTATGGCGTGGCTTGTTGATCATGGTAGGTTGCTTATCAGGAATGTTCATAATAACTATAATTGCACATGTGTCCAGTGTTAATTTCGTTGATGAATAATATTCGCCATAATTTTCGTCAACAATTTTTTTCATTCACTATGAGCAATAGCTACATTTGCTACAGAAGTTATTAATCTTAGTTAAAAAATACAAGACTTAGTTCATGTTAGCTCATTAAATAACACCGTTGCAACTTTCGATTTTAACAACGTGTTATTAAATATTGGAATACCTATGATCAATGAATGTTCAGAAGAATTTTTCATTGGCAGTTTGTTAACTAATGAATTAACTAATGTTAACTAATGAAGCCCTAATGTAAAGTGTGACCGAACAATAAAGAACCAAAACACTTTCAAACAATATCTAGGGCATGTTGTAGTCCAGATTAAAATGTAAAAAAAAAGATTGAAAATAAATAGCATATTAAGTCTAAATATTTAAGTATTTGGCACTGTGATGAACATCATGGCAAATACACAAATCTGAATGGCTGTTTAAATCATTTAAACACGATTCAGAAACAGAAAGTAGTGCAGCTGCTTTATTTACAGGGTTTCCGGGGTAACGGCTGCATTTAAATGTATTATTATTATTATTATTTCTGCAGTTTAGCGCTATCTGCTGTCAGAGAGTGAAAGTGCGCTTTCATCCAGAGCGTCTCTCACATGTTCTGCCATGTGAGTGTGCATCTTTCACGCAGCATATAGCGGTGCTGTGCATTTTGACCAGTTGATGGGAAAAGTATTCTTAAAATGCATTCAAAATTCGGAGTAATTTGTAATATATAATTATTCACGGTATTAAGAAGTGCCCACGATAACAATATTGTGCATATTCATTACCGTGATATATCGCATTACCGAATACCGGCACAAGTCTACTCACAGTGCGCGAGTACTTTCGCGTTGCATGAATGGAGAATTACTCAAAATGATGTTGAATTGTCCGTTTTGACGAGTATTCATGTAAACACAGTTGATTACGTCTTAAGTGAACGTAAACCGTAGGGAGAACGTGTATCAGTACATTGCATCCATTGCAGCTGTGCATTCGGTTTTAAAGGGATAGCAGCTTCATTAAGTTGCTATTGTCCGAGTCATTGATGTTAATCAAGCAACAAAAGAAAGACAGAAAATCACGCACTGCTCTTGACTGAAAAACTTTAGTAGCCCTAAAGATTAATCTAAATTTATTTATAGGAATAAATATGTCTGCTTGAAAGAATGAAGAATATGGTAAACAAGTTGCTATAAAGAATGCATAATTAGCCTTAGGGATGTAACAATTCACTCAACTCACGATTCGATTCATGATTTTTCATCATTTTTTAACAAAATGAGATTTAAGACAAATTATAAATTAAATGTGTCCTTTTATTATTGCTTGGACAAAATGCTGCACATTTCTTAGTGAAATATATCACTATAATAATATACTAATATAGCACTTGCATATTATGCTCTTTTGTTGGTTTTAATTGGTTCTATTGTCCTCATTTGTTAGTCACTTTGGATAAAAGTGTCTGCTAAATGACAACATTTAAATTAGTGTAGATGTAAATAACAAAACTAAATTGAAATTTAAAAGCAAGCCCCAAATCAAATAAACAAGTAACACAAATAAAATAAATCTCTTCATATAAACAAAATAAGGCATTGTCTGTGCTCTTTCCATTTAAAATTAGAGGCAACCACTGCATTTTAATCATGAGCCAAACAAAGATTCTGCATACATGCAACATGAGCCGAAAAAGCTGCTGAGTCACAGATGAATGTATGGCGTTGGTGCTGATTAGGCTTGCCGTGATTAGGTTAAGTCACTTGCCCACCGCGTCACCGACCCCCGCCGTCGTTTTGATTTTTTTATAGAAATAAAAATCATTTAGTTCAGTAAAAGAACAGACACTACAATTAAAAACTGAATGCGGCAGCTCAGTGCAGCGTGCCGAACGACCTGTCGCATCACAGATTAGATTTAATTTCTCCAGTGAGGAGAGTGAGTCAAGCTGACTGACAAGAAGAGTGAGGTGAGGTGAGACAGACAAGACGATCGCGGATGATTTAGTTTCGAAACGAAATGCAAAACCGCCTGTTTGGCAATATTTTGGATTTTGAGAAAGCCTGTTGACTTTTGCCGTTTATCTAAGGTGATTTTGGAAGTTTTCGTTTCTTATTTAATTGGTTCCACATTATTTGCTGATTTTTACTTTATTTAAACTGTCATTTATTTATTTTATTTGACATCAAGGTGTATGCCGTGCCTCCAAGCTTTCTTACTCGTTTTGCTAATAAACGTTCTACGTTTCTTATTTAATTGGTTATATATATACATGTTTACTTAGCCTATTTCCAGTTTTGTATACCTATTTAAACTTTATGTAAGTTATTTGTTATTTTATATTAGGCATAGCCTGCCCTATAGCATGGTGTATTTGTTTTGTTAATAAAAGTTCTATGTTTTATATATAGGCTAAAATGAGTTTGACGTTGCATTTAAGCAATTGACGCCAAACTGCCGTTAATTCAAAAGTGAAAGTAAAATGCGCATGACGCTTTTAAGCTATTTAAAAGCGAAGGAAAGCGAGGAAAAGAGGGAAAATTCAAACAAACTAAAAACTAACAATTGCTTTACGCCGAATTGCCGCTATTCGAAAGTGAAAGTAAAATGTGCACACCGCTTTTACAAGCTATTTGAAAGCGAAGGAAAGCGCGGAAAAGAGGGAATGCCCCGCCCCCACAGTGATGCCGGTATTACCGGTGTTGTCACACGTCGATTAACCGGTGGGAAAATTTCCTCACCGTCACAACCCTAGTGCTGATGCATTAGGTGGAAAAGCGCCGTTTGATGTACATCTTGACCATAAAATATAGTAAAATCTGTCTCATTCTCTTTGTAGAATGGTGCATCATCCATGAAATATTTGAAATTATCTGTAGAACTTGTGGGGAAAAACTTATATCAAATTTATCTTTAACCCCTGCAGCAGCACTGATGTGTGTAACTGTCCATTTTAGGCTCTGTCTGAGGTGTGTGGACAGGAGATTACCACCAAACACATGCTTCCTGTAGTTTTCAAGATGTCCAATGACCAGGTAGCCAATGTACGCTTCAATGTGGCCAAGTCTCTTCAGAAGATTGGACCTGTGCTGGACAGCAAGTATGTGTTTATCCACATTTAACCAGTAGTTGATTTTTATGTCAAAAATATATTTCACTTAATGTGGCTCTAATTATTTATTTATTTATTTATTTTTACAGCTGTCTGCAGACAGAGGTGAAGCCAGTGCTGGAGAAACTGGCATCAGATCAAGACATGGATGTGAAATATTTCGCCCAAGAGGCCATCAGTGGTGAGTTCCGCAACTGCTGCTCTTGAGTGTTGTGCAACTATTGACGCAAACCAGAAAGCTACTATCATTCTTAAATACAACCTGCATCAGTGCAAACTGATGACTCACCATTATGTAACAAAAACAAAAGACTTAAATATATTTCATTGAATAATATTAAAAAGAAAAACCGACAGTTCTGACTTTTCTTTTTGCTCTCTCCCCAAAGTTCTTTCCCTGGCCTAATGTACCTACTTGCTGAACGTAAGACCCATCTCTCAAGTTGACCTGCATTGTATTTATTGACGTCCAGGATCGTCCTCTGGACTGTTTATGGATAAACAATGTGCTCTGTTCCCTTTCAGTGAGAAATGTTTTAGGGATACTTGGCTTCTCTCAGTGTTTTGTTCAGCTGTTAACCAAACACCATCTTGCTCTTCATTCTCTCCCGCTGAGCCCCTCTTGCTCTGTGTATCTTCACTTGCTAACCCTCAGCCTAGGGTCACATACTAGTTTTATTATCAGTGTAACAATGTATTGAAGCATCATAGGTTTAGAAAAATAGATGTTTTGAGGAATCAGATCTGATGGACTGAATCTCTTTTGCTCTTACTGCTGATTTTAAGAGTTGCCCCATGCATGCGCACAGCATGACAAAGGGGCGAATCACTACTGCACCTTTCATTTGATTACGGTGTTCCCATGCCACGTCTTACACTGATCGTTGTTGAACCAAGACCCCATAAAGCACTAGCCCCATGGCCGTTCTTTAGTGGAGGGCTCTGATACTATTCCCCTATTCTCAAAGTGCTTATCTTCTTAAAGGGACCATGACAAATTTCCATCTGCTTCCTGCAACTGTTATAACAGGGGATGGGCATTCCTAAACAGCCCTTTTTATCTTCAGAAGGCAAGCTTCTTCATTCTGTGCCATTGACCGTGTTGCACATTTTCTCTTTTTGTTTTGTTTTTAACTTGTGTCCTTTATATGAATGCATCTGCATGCCTCTTGCACACAGGTTCCATAGACCATCAGTATATTGAGAAGCTCATGAATCAGAAGGCATCCTAAACTCCCTCCCTTAACACATTGCTTCTGCCTGTGATGTTGACTGTCCGATTCTTCTTCAGCTTCAGAGTGCAGTCAATATAGTAGTATCTTCTATGTTATGAGTGTCATTAGAATGTGCTTTGGGTTTTATTTGAATATGGTCACATTGCCCTTGATAGAAGGGAACTCAATAAAGAATGTTATATAACCCCATTTCACTGTGCGTGGACCTTCTGTAATCCATCAGGTCATATACAGTGAAACGCAATATAGCATCAGGATGTCTCTAAGCTGGGAGTGGATTGCAGCAGAGCGGTTTATTGAAGGAGGCATATCGTGAAAAATCAAATTTCCTTCATCTTTTGAAATGAGTTATTGCAGTAGGTTTTCATTGTACACTGAACTCTCAGAACTCAAAACTTCTCCTGTCCAGAAAAAACAGTGAGGTAATGGCAGGAGAGATCAAATAATGCATAAATTCCATAAAACACATGTATTTTTTTTCTGCAAGGATGCATTACATTCGAAAGTAACACTGAAGACATATTTCATATAAATGCTGTTGTTAGAAAAAATAACAGCAAGAATAAATTGTCATGGTTTTCACAAAAATAATAAGCAGGGCAAATGTTTTAAATAGAATGTTAAGTATTAAATCAGCATATTAGAAGGATTTTCAAATCCTGACCCGACCGATCCCACTCCCCTCTCTCTCCCACTTTTGCTTCCTGTCAGCTCTGATCTGACCTATCATAATAAAGGCAAAAATAATTCTTAAAAATAATAATAAAAATGTTTTCTGGAGGCTCATGTGACACTGAAGACTGGAGAAATGACTACCATCAGCTTTCACATCACAGGAATATGTGACATCTTATAAATATTAAGATAAGAGTTTTTTTTTAGTAGTAATATTTTACAATACTGTTATTACTGTATTTTGGATCAAATAAATGAAGCCTTGATAAGCATGAGAAACTTCTTTTAAAAAAATCATATTGACCCCAAACCTTTAAGTAGTGTATGCAAATGTTCTGTGTTAATTTAATACATATATGTTAGTTACATGTACACTAAATATAGTTTTAATGGCCATGTAAAAGTATATCTGTAATGTTAATGTTAAGGGAAATATTCCACCAACATTTAAAAAATAATCAATCAAATTGTATTACTAATTTTAAATAACACTTGGGTCTGGTGGTGTATAAATCTAAAAGCAATAAAGCTGTTAAAATAATATTATTTTAATATTTATTATATCGTTAAATGTGACTTTTTTCCCCCTCTTTGTGATTGTACTGTCACCTTTTATTTACAAAGCTGTAAAAAAAAAAAAAAAGAGCTAAATGATGCAAAAAGAAGTCTGTCAGCCTCATCCTTCTGAAAGATCCCAACTTTGAGAGAGTGCTTGGTTTATTTTTAACGTCACCTCATAATTGGTAGACTCAGTTTGGTAAATAAACTAAAGCCGGTCAGTCCCAAGTGATAAAATAATTAGATTTTCTTTCTCATTTAGAAAACTGCATTCAAATCAAGATCTAATCACTAAAGTTTTTTTTTTTTAAGTTTCTAAGTCCTGGTAGCTTTTAAAACAGCTACACAATTGGCATGCAAGGTCTAACAACCTGTGAGAGCTGACATGGCTTTGAGCGTTTGTTCTGACAAGGCTGTTTTCTCTGGAGTCTGAATTGTGGAGCTGCTGCTGTCGTGCCTGCTGATGAACAGTTTACAGCTGGAACATCACGACTCACCTTTTGAGTGTTAGTGCCATTCTGCCCAGATTATTCATCGGGAAAGCTTTATACCAACACTCCTGTTCATTCAGCAGCTATGTATAAAGTTACATTTCACACACTGGCAGTTCCAGGGTTTACATGATTTTTGCTACATTTCTACTGTTTGTATTTGGATCTACACCAGTGACAAATTGCCTGCATCATATGGCTAATTTACGGCTTTTTCATTCAAGATTCAGTAAGCTCCGTTTAAAGGGATAGTTCACCCAAAAATTTATATTCTGTCCTTATTTACTCATCATGTTGTTCCAAACCTGTATGAGTTTGTTTTTTTCCACTAATGAATCAAAGAGAACAAAATTGTCATTTCCTGATAAACTGGCACTTAATATCCCTAAGAAAAGTAGAAGTCATAATTATCGTATAAAATAAATTGCTTGCACGAGCAGACAAAACAACAAATGCGGTCATTGCTTTCGGAAGTGGATGCCTGCTTTGGGAACGCTGCCATGTAAGACAGTTCTTATTCTCAAAATGCCTTTCCATCTCCCATTATTCGCTTTAACCCCTTTTCACACAAGTCAAAAACCACCTCACGCGAGTGTAAAAACAATTTTGTGAATTAACTTTTTTTCCCCCCCTTTTTTGAAATTTAGTGTTTCCATCACTGATTTCTGATGCGATACTTCAAAATGCGCATAAAAATCAGTGGCTACCATAAACTTTTTGGTTATCATCATTCTTCAAAATATCTTCTTTTGTGTTCAACAGAAAGAAACTCGTAGAGGTTTGGAACAGCTTGAAGGTGATAAAGTGATGACAGAATTTTTATTTAAATTTATACTAAATTCTCAAATCGACCAAAAATGCATGGATAACACCATAAAGTTATTAAAAATGGTATGTAATCAGTTAATTTACATTTTTTAATGCCAGAAGAGCTTCGAACAATTCGAACACTGATCCAGTTGTATCCAAATTCCTGTAATGACCATGTAACAAAATGAGGGGGAGTAAATTATAGAATTTTCATTGCTGGGTGAATTATGCCTTAAAGGGATAGTTCCCCCAAAAATGAAAATTTGATGTTTATCTGCTTACCCCCAGGGCATCCAAGATGTAGGTGACTTTGTTTCTTCAGTAGAACACAAACTGAGTTTTTTCTCAAACTGTTGCTGTCTGTCAGTCTTATAATGTCAGTGGATGGGAATCACGGTTTGAGAGTAAAAAAACATACACAAACAAAACCAAATTAAACCCTGCAGCTCGTGACGATACATTGATGTGAAAAGACACAAAGTGATTGGTCTGTGCAAGAAACTGAACAGTATTTATATAGTTTTTTTACCTCTGATTTTCACCGCAATGTCTGAACTGTCCTGAGCGCATTCGCGTGGGCTGAAGTGAGGCGTCTTCTTGCTTTACGGCGGATCGCAGACTTAAGTGCATTACCGCCACCTATCTCAAATGGACCATTGACACTCCTAATTGAGATCGTAGATAGTGTCAATGGTCCATTTGAGAGATAGGTGGCGGTAATGCACTTATAAGTCATTACTACCACGTTCAAAGCCCAGAAAGGAAATATTCCATGCGACATCAGTGGTTCAACGATTCTTCCGTGGCTCATGTGTATGTTGCTGCTGACACAGGAGCCGGCGTTCTGACGTAGAACCTGGATGTGCTGCAGTTTGTTTGCAAGCAGAGGAGTGCACATGCATGTCATGAACGCGAGTCAAAGTCTGACGCGGAAAAGAAGAAATTGTTGAATAAAGTCGTTATTTTTGTTTTCTTAGCACAGAAAAAGTATTCTCATAGCTTCATAAAATTATGGTTGAACCACTGATGTCACATGAACTATTTTAACTATGTCTTTACTACCTGTCTGGGCCTTGAACTTGGTAGCTGCGTTGCTGTCTATGCAGAGTCAGAAAGCTCTCGGATTTCATCAAAATATCTTAATTTGTGTTCCGAAGATAAACGAAGGTCTTACGGGTTTGGAATGACATGACGGTGAGTAATTAATGACAATTTTCATTTTTTGGTGATCTATCCCTTTAAAACATACAGTATTTGTCACAAAATTATTTTAACCAATGAAAGGCCATCATCTTTCTCAGTGTATAGTCAGAACTGACATAATGTGATGTGAGACATTTATGAACAAAATGTCACAAACATTTTCACTCAAGGAACGTGACTTTTATTCCTCCTTGTGCAAGGAACTCAGCATTTTCAACTGAATATAACAAAATTCATATTGTGATTACATATTGGGAAACATTTTAGCACTGAAAAACGACTAGAACAAAACGGTTCACTTTTCAATGTCGGTATTAATATCAACAATAGTCAAGAAGGATCTGACTACAAACTCTAAATAGTCACAAAAAGATCTTTTTTCTTCAAAGGCATAAAATGACAACACTCGACTATCGACACCCATTTTAAACATCAGAACTATTACTCTAGATATTGCTATACTTTGAATGGCATATACTGTAGGACCATGACAGCTATCTCATGTAGTTCCAGAACAATCCACATAGTGGACTTCAAAATAGAACCTAAAGACTTTGGTTCAAGGTATCTGTCAAAAGAGGGTGCTTCACACTGCATTTTCAGACAGGAAGTTGTACATAAGGAATTGAATCTAAAAACAGACATTCTTCAAAAAGGAATAAGAAGAATTGAAAGGCACAACACTTAAGGTTCTAAAAAAATCTGCTGGACTTCGGTTTGAGTAATAGTGCACGCTGTGTGAGATCATTGTTAATTCTGATTGGTTTAAACCATGTAAGTCTGAATGTTTACAGTGGCTCTAAAAGCAAACGTAATGTCAGAAAAACCACGTACTGTAACCTTGTTCTTTTCTACTTCTCCATTTCACTCTGATAAGCCTAAAGTAGATAGTGTGATTTTAAAGTCAACATGAACTCAAAAGGAACCCTATTTACTTTAACGCACGTTGTTTGTTCTTACTGTGCATAACCATTGGTGTATATTATTTCACAGATGATTTTTGTAATCTTTCACCATTGCTCCACCCGAAACAACTTTAGTTTGTCTGCTGACATTGAGGTCGTGCCTGTTAATGTTTACTAATAGTCAAACAGCAATGTGGTAACACTTTACAATAGTGCTGCAGGAATGAGTCCTAAAACCCAGACTCGTCATCACAGTCAATGCCTGAAATAAGTTCTGTGATTCACCCAAGCTTATTATTCATTAAAACCAAGTAATACACTACCTATAATTTTTTTAAAGCTTTTACATGTCTTGGAAAAAGGTGGTTGCTAACAAGTGGCTAAATGGGACTACAGAGGTGGTTGGGGCATTAAACATGACATTGAACACAAAAAAAAACATATTTTACAGCCTTTTGTTTATAATTGATCAAACTATCCCAACTCAAATTTTCCAACTTTATTTTAGAATTTAAATAAAGGTCGTAAGAAGTTAAATGGTTGTGACACTGAAGTCGAGTGACTGCTTCTAGTGATTGTATTCGGTCTTCAAAATTCACGAATGTTATGTTCATTGTCTCGAACAAAACGTGCAAGAATTATAAACTTTTACAGGTCATAGAGCTTATTTTACACAATAATCCAAAATCAAATGGGAAAATATTATTGGCTTTTGTCGAGGGAACCAGGGTGAAGCCAATGCTGCATTTACACCATGTCGTACGGTAATTATTAGATGATAACTTGTGCCGGAACTGTTCCTGTCTTGAATTATACATTTCTATGGCAACACTATTAATGCCACAATGAATCTGTGTAATTTGAGTAATCAATAGAAGAAGAAACAATACATCAAATAACAGTCCTTATGCAAATGCATTAAATTGCCTTAAATGAATGAACTTTATTTAGTGGGACATTAGATGCATTCAGCCGTGCTGGCCACATTAAACTATTGTATGTCTTTTATTTTTTAGATTATCCTGGCACTATCAAGACATTAACAATAGTCAAGTACTGGAATTATTATTAATTATATGAATTACTTAAATATCATTACGTCACTACAATTTGCAGCTGAATTTGCTGTCATTTTAAGAAAATTGCAAAACAATTTGTAATTACGAATTCTAAGAGGACGCGACCGTCCTCAAGTCAGAATGTTTACAAGTCAGAATCTCGTAATTACGTTAATCCTGACATGGTGTGAATGAACCATAATGTCTGGGTTGGCTTGCAAAAGCAAAATTACATCATATCTGCAGCACTTAAATTAGTGCTTAGTTAATACAATAGGTATTGTGAACTAACAAATCAATGGTAATAAGTTACAGCATTTATTAATATACTATTGTTTATTGTTACTTTGTTTATTTTGTTTTAATTTACTAATGCTAATTATTGTGAATATATAAATATAAAGAAGTTAAAAAGTATTATATGCATACATTAAAATCAATGTTGATTGATAAATGCTGTAAATTATTGTTTGTTCATAGTTGTTTATTTTCTGGGCAGTTTGATACCTAATTATTGTAAAGTGTTGGCAATGTTTTAAACTTAGGTCTGACTCTATATTTTGTTCTCGTCTTTCATTCAGAGGTTCATCACTCAGGAAAATAGACTCAATGCTGTTTCATGTTGACTTTAACATTATTTCTTTTTTTTATCCCTTAGATAAGTACTAATATTTACACATTTCTCTGTTGATTATATCTATTATTTAAAATCAGACAATACTAATAAGGAAAACTTGAGTAGCTACTGATCATTTAAGGATGAAACAAACTAATAAAAACACTCAAACTCATAGAACTCTAGAGTATTATATAGGAAAAGGAATATTGCTTTAATACTGATTCTTAAACTCTATGGTTGCTGCACTACATTTAATCTGTGCTTACCAGAAAAAACAAACAAAAAACATTTCAGGACACTAGCGTATCTCACAAACATCTCTGAAAATGAAGTTCTGTAATGGTCTACCACAGTTCTGTAGGTTTATAAGATGTGACACAAACCATGGCGTCTTGTTCGTCCCTGAGGGCGTTTTTCGCCACATCTTATGCCTGAGAGCCAGCCTCAGAGTGCTTTATTTCACATTTAGTTTACGAGTACACAGCCCTGTGGGGCCTCTACGGTCTCCATCATCTCACAGTCTAGGAAGGTGGCTTCAGGTGCAGGTTGTGCCGAAGGGCTTTCTGCTTTGCGTGGTGGGAGAGGTGGCGGGGCAGGACTCCACGCGTACAGGGGCTCTGTAGGGAGGGATGGGGTGTAGTTTGTGCAGTTGTCTGGCGGTGGAGGCCAGTCTGGGAAATGGGCAGGCTTGGGGACGTATGTCAGGGATGAAGTGCCAGGCTCCAGAAAAGGAGTTAGGGTCCGTGTGAAGGGAGGGCTGGATAAGGGAACGCTGCTGTTCTGGGGGTCTCTGCTGTCCTGGGGAGGGCGGTAAGCATCCTCAGCCAGCTGCATCTGGTGGAAGTAAGCCTGTACCTGAGACTGCTTCTGGAGATAGAGCCTCTTCTGCTGCAGTCTGCGTAGAGAATTACAATTGAACAAGACGTTTCAAAATAACTAAAACTTAAGGACAACTTCGGGAAATCAGTGCATTATGAAGGCAGTTGTTCCTGACCGGTGCTCCTGGAGTTGTTGCTCTAAAGTGCGCTAGTGTGATTTTAAAGTCAACATGAACTCAAAAGGAACCCTATTTACTTTAACGCACGTTGTTTGTTCTTACTGTGCATAACCATTGGTGTATATTATTTCACAGATGATTTTTGTAATCTTTCACCATTGCTCCACCCGAAACAACTTTAGTTTGTCTGCTGACATTGAGGTCGTGCCTGTTAATGTTTACTAATAGTCAAACAGCAATGTGGTAACACTTTACAATAGTGCTGCAGGAATGAGTCCTAAAACCCAGACTCGTCATCACAGTCAATGCCTGAAATAAGTTCTGTGATTCACCCAAGCTTATTATTCATTAAAACCAAGTAATACACTACCTATAATTTTTTTAAAGCTTTTACATGTCTTGGAAAAAGGTGGTTGCTAACAAGTGGCTAAATGGGACTACAGAGGTGGTTGGGGCATTAAACATGACATTGAACACAAAAAAAAACATATTTTACAGCCTTTTGTTTATAATTGATCAAACTATCCCAACTCAAATTTTCCAACTTTATTTTAGAATTTAAATAAAGGTCGTAAGAAGTTAAATGGTTGTGACACTGAAGTCGAGTGACTGCTTCTAGTGATTGTATTCGGTCTTCAAAATTCACAAATGTTATGTTCATTGTCTCGAACAAAAGTTGTTCCTGACCGGTGCTCCTGGAGTTGTTGCTCTAAAGTGCGCGGTGCAGCCTCTTTACAAAACATCTGTCCACTTCCAAGACCACTTGCCAACTGACTGGCCCTCTGGAAAAAAAAGTCATAATAAAAAAAAAGTATCAGTTCAGTCATGAAGCTATAGATTGCTCAGTCCTTTACATGCTAACAATCACATTATTTACTACATGACACAAGTTGATTGGCCTCTGCTGATCCTGCAGCCAATAGTAAGCTAGTCCTGCAGCACGCTATCAGAGTTCCTCTGAAACCCTCCACCTCCCCCAGCTCCACCTGTCTAGATCTGCTATGGGATTTATGTTTGCCTATTCATGTAGCAGCATATCTTACTTTCCCACAGCATCATGTCTGTGTATCTATTGGCAACAGCAAGTCCATATTTGCTCTGCAGCAGCAGGAGGCATAGCAGATCTAGTTCACCAGTTGTCAAAATTTTCTTTTTTTTTATGTTTTATGAAGATAACTGCCAACGGCTCAGATTTCCAGAACTAAACCAGCATAAACTAAACTGGACTAGCACATAAAGTCGCGCTGGTTTTAGATCAGATTTTCAGTAGGGATTAGAGATTAATATTAGGGCTGTAGCTATCGATTATTTTAGTAATAAAGTATTCTACAGATTATTCCATCGATTAATCGAGTAATGGGATAAGATGTAATTTTTCTTTATTAAAGAGCAATACTAAATATGCAAGAGATAAGATAGATCTCTTAAAATAAACAACTAATTTGTTTTCTTTTTAGAAAAATTTAAATTTTTATTGCTGAAATTGCATACATTAATAACCGTGAAAACTAAACCCATTTAATGCATTTAATTGCCAAATTGCATTCAAAATGCAAATACAAATGTATCAATAAAAAAATAAAATAAATAAATAAAAAACAAAAATCAATTTCACATTACTTTAAAAAAGGTAAACAATACAAACTAAAACTAAGGCATAAATCAAAATAATAGACACTCCAAAGAGAAAAGAAAAATTGAAATCGCATCATATAACCCCTTTAAATATGTCCAGTGCTTTTTTTACAGTCTGTGGTCCAGCGTTTATCGGGTTTTGCGTCAGTAATAATGGTCCGTGGGGAAACACGGTGTTCCGTGTGTAGTTACAGTAAATGGACTACACGAAGCCTCGATGCAAATAATTTGCCTCGATGATTTTTTCTATTCGAGTTACTCGAGGTATTTGAGGAATCGTTTCAGCCCTAATTAATATGTTATGTTGGAATAAATACTATTTTTAAATACTGTTTTGTGATATTTGGGTCAATGACACTTATCATTATTATTATTTTGTTTGGTCTGGTTCTGTTTTTACTGTCAATTTCAATAATATATTAGAAATGTAATTAATACATGCAATGACTTGAGTACTCATCTTCTATGATGGGGATGTCTTAGTTTCTGAATTAAAATTGAGGTGCATAAAGCTAATAATGTAAGGGTGATACAACTGTGCTGATTATCATAATTACATTTTTTAAAAGTCGTTGTAGAAGTAGTTTGGCAATCTTATACTATTATTTCTTAGAAAAACAATATTTTAACAAAACTCACAGCTTATTAATATTTGAAAAATGGTTGTCCTCATAATCAAAGTTATGTGATTTAACCAACAGGCAAAATAAATAAAAAATTTTTAATAAAAATGTAATTTGGCTGTAAAATGTCATGTGGTGTGACTCCCCAAAAACAACAACAGAAAAAAGGTAAAATACCCTTTATCTTGAAAAATCTATTTAAAACAATAACTTTATACATATACGTGTGATCGCATATATTTATGTTATATGGAAAATATTAAGTTTTACTTGATGGTTACACCAAGTAAACTTGAAAATGGTATAAAAGTTTTTTAAAACCATAAAAAAAACAACATGAACACACGGTACATTTAAACATTTTTGGCATATGTGATTTAAACCAGATTTGTAGAATTTTTACATTTTCTTTATTGTGTTCAATCTTGTATGTAATTAAGTATACCTGTAGTCGCTGAGCGAGGTACTGTGTCTCCAAACTTTGTCTCCTGGATAGCAGATAAGGGTGCATTTTACCAGTGAATGTCGACGTATCTTTTCCACTTAGACATTGGCGTCCTTCTCCCTAAAATTTTGAATTGTTTCATACCAGCATAAATCACAGAGAACTGCCATATTCTACGTCTAACAATAAAAAGTTAAGACAAAAACACTCTTTTCAGTATTCTGCTACCTATTTTATTTCACATCCAAAGGCAACATACCCATGCATAAAATGTAAAAATAGAAAACAGAGAACAGCACAAATAGCTATCTGACCTGGTGGCTGAATGGGTGGTGAAGCTCTAGGAGCTCATGGGGACTGGTGGGTTTATCGCCTGCTCCACCATCTCCTAACACTATCTGGGCTTTGTTCAGCTCCAGGAAACCCTTGGTTCTGGCCAGGTTCTGGAGGTGCTGCCTGAATGCCACTAAACCTGTTGGGTTCAATAAATGCAACAGACTTTAGAGTCAGATGAACTGGTGGAGATATTTCTGTGACTGCTGCAGGGGTGGTCTGACTCATAGTCTTGACTACTGCTATAATTAGTACAGGAGTGAATCACTGCGATTATTTACAGCTTTGAAAAGTAGTCATTATTCATAGAAGGTCAGATATCATTCAGAATGAGGGTTATTTTATCTGCTAACAATAAATCTTCCAAAACACTGATTATGACATGCAAATACATGCCTGCAAGTGACTAAAACAGTGGTCACGCTAGGTTTTGTGCTCCATTCACATACATGGGAGAATGGATACGGTAGCAGATTTTGTCTTTTGTAGCACATTATACTATAGGGCTGTTGAATGCTTGAATCTAATTGGTTGATGAACGTTCTAAGGTGTGCAATTATTTTTAAGGTAACATGCGACTAAATTAGTACCAGGCAGGTCATACTGCATGTCCGTATGGCTTCAGCAAATTATTTCAGTAATATTAAAGTTCCTTTCAGCCTACAACAGCAAAAGAACCAAAACCCACAAGGACACTGATGAAGCAAATGAATATAGTAAATAATACGCTAAAAATTACTAATTATTTCCATGTTTTTGCCACAAAATACTATTTTATTATGTACGGAAAGCACATACTCCCACTTTCTCTCCCTTACAAACGCACATACAAACTGTACAGACAAATAACTCACAAAAAAACATGTTTTTAGCGCTGCTCTGGCGATTTTATTAGTAAAACATTTTAGCACCTTAAAAGCTACATGACGTATCTCACTAGAGAGGTAATAACGGCACTGTTGTTGAAGCAGATAAACTTATAGCTTTTAGTAGAGATGAGCTGCATAAGTAGTTAGTTCTACACACAAGAGCATTTTAAGGACAAAAACCTGACGAGCATCTGAGCAACGTTATGTGTGGTAACGATAGTACAAGCAGAATAATTGACTCCAGTCCATTTAATAATTCGAAAATAATACACACCTAATAAATTTCTATAGTGAAAAGACATTTGACTAATACATGGTCTGCATTTAACAGAATACCCTCCGTGTAATAACTGTATATGTCACGTTTTGGCAAAGAAATCGGTACAAAAAAAGGTTCACTAAAAATTTACAATTACACATTGAACTAAATATGATTTTTTAAAGAATAAATACTTAAACAGTATTTTCATATTAACCATACTACAATATGTTTCTTTACTTAAAAAAAAGTATAATTTAGAATACTTAAAAAAAAGAGTACTTATGGAAATAATATACTTTAAAATGATATACTTTAGTGCAAACTAAATGTAATGTTTTTGGACATTAAACTACACGTTAACGGCAATTTAATTAAATATGAATTATAGTTAAAATTTTATATGAAATGCAATAAGTTAAACTTAAGAGTGTTTTTTTTTTACTTTTGAAGTTTTTTTAATGCATTTATATAGCACTTTATTGTGTATTGTTGTACACCCAAATCGCTTTACAATCATGAGGGGGTCTCTCCTCAACCACCACCAGTGTGCAGCATCCATCTGGATAATGCGACGGCAGCCACAGGACAAAAGTAGGACTTAAAATATATTTAAATATAATTTCATAATTACTTCTATTGTCTTTATATGGTTAAAGTGTGCTGTTGAATGTACTGTACTGAGAAGTAAACTTGTCATGTATTTAAACTAGGGCTGTCAATTTAACACGTTAATTTGTTCCAAGTTGTTCCAAACCTGTATGAGTTTCTTTTCTCTGTTGGACACAAAAGAAGATATTGATATTGGTAACCAAACATTTGACGGTAGCCATTGGCTTCCAGAGTATTTTTTCCATACTATGGAAGTCCATGGCTACTGTTTAGTTAACAGCATTCTTTAAAATATCTTCTTTTGTGCTCAACATAAGACAGAAACTCATACAG